TTTTATATTTAAAATAAGATGTTTATCCTGTATTTGATTGTGTTTATCTGCAGTTAGTTACACGAACTCAGTTATGGGATGAAATCGGATAGGGATGAACGGGTTTAAGAGTTTTAAGAGTTTAAGAGTTTTTAAGAGTTTTAGTCAAATGCATTATAATATAGTATAGATAAATAACTAATTATTTATACCATCTTATAAACCAGATTTGTCAAAAATCTTAAAAATAATTTTTAATGCATAAAGTACTATACATTTATGCACAAGGTCTTAAAAACAATTCATAATGCATTAAGTACTACTACTTTATACATTTAGTCTTAAAATCTCTTAATCTACAATTAAAATAAGGGAAAATTGCACCAAAATTGAACTAACTTTCACCTAATTCTTATTTTGGAGAACCAACTTTCAAAATCGTCATTTAGGGGTATTTATCAAACTTTTTGTTAAGGGTCTGGTTGATCTGTTGAACAGGTAACAGATAATTTAAGGGTCTCTATCAAACTTTTGGTTTTAGTTGCCAAATTTGATTTAAACTTTAATATTGATACGGATTGGTTAGATACAAAAATTTTGAATGTGATATTTAATATTTATTTTTTATTGCATTAATTAATTTTTTTCTATTAAATTGATTTTTTATTGCATTAGTAAAAACAATTTTATTGTGGTAATTTGGATTTTTTTTTTGAAAAAATCTTCAATTTGATATCTGAATTTAAAAAAAAAAGAGATTTTAAATGAAAAATAGATTTTATTGCATTAATTTTTGGAAAAAAAATGAATTTTAGTTATTTTTCTATAATTATTTTGCAAGTCGATTCCCTAAAATAGGAATCAGGTGCAAGTTTGTACCCCAAAATGACGATTTTGAAAGTTGGTTCCCCAAAATAAGAATCATGTGAAAGTTGGTTCCATTTTGGTGCTATTTTCCTTTAAAATAACATATAGTACAAGTTACCAATGCATATTATTACTTTTTTTTTTCACGTTCTCAAGATACTTTTGACACATTTCACTCATGTCTTCACCCTCTCATACCTCTATGTCTTCTCCTCATCCCCTAAAATGAGATTCAAAATGATATTCACCATGAGTCATTCATTCATCTCTCATTCAATTGCTCTGAAACTTTCGGTCTCGTTCTCGATCTCTTGATTCTTTGTTTTTTGTGTAAATCGAACACATTTGTAGAGCCGTTTAAATATGTTGGATTTTAAATATATTGGATTTTAAATTGTCATACAATTTTTTCATCGATAGAATGTAATTGGAACCATAACTCTTATTTATTCAAATTTCAAACTGTATTAATATGTAAAGATCAAATGTAACTTATATCATTGTTAAATCTTCAATAATAAAACCAGTGAAACTTCAAAATCAGTAAAAATTCACGACTCCTGCTACATTGCACGAGTACACGACTAGTCCATTAAATAATTTATATTTGGGTTTTTTATATGTATGGTTATGTTACATGATTAGATGATATATTTCATATGGATCACTTTATTAAAATACACAATATATTACAGGGTTGTGTTTCGGTAAGAATAAAAGTTATGCTGAGAATGCTAAAAAAAATTTATATCTTTGAATCAATTATAATTGAATATCAACACTAATGCAATGCATCGAAATGCACCAGATTAATTCCCATAAAAATTATAATTTTTTTTTGTAAGGGTGTCCGGGCCAACGCCCGACTAATCCCCGGCAATTTTGGAGGCTAAACATAGCCCCACTTAAATGTCGCCAACACTCCCCTCCCAGGGCTCGAACTTGGGTTCATGACTATGTCATGCCCAAGCCTTTAC